TCCCCACCGGGATTTGCCCCCCCCCCCCCCCCCCCTCCGCCTCTCACCTCCGATAGGAGAGGTCCCCAAGCTCGTTGTACCCCATGCGAATGCTCTCCTTGATGAGATTTATCTTGTACGAGTTGAGCTCAGCCTCCAGCCTGTCGACCGACTGCTGATACCGTCGGTCCACCTTACGTTCGCCCCGGCAACGTGAAACAAGAAACAAGATTGGTTCTTGTTTTCGACGCGTGAAACAAGCAACAAGATGGGTTCTTGTTTCCGACACGTGCAGATGCTACACGTAAAAACTAACGTCAACGCGCAAAACGTCAATCCTGAATAACCCTTGTAGGAATGCAACTCGGTGACACTATTAATAGCACTGGTGGTGAAATGAAAGAAGCAAAGATAAAAAAAACTGTGTATGCAGAAAGGCGGGAATTATCCCTCGAAGGAGAACCGTTTGGGTCTTCAGACGTGCTCAAAAGACTGCGCTGCGTCTGTCTCATGTCAACCAGTTGGCGCGTGTCATGCCACCGACACGTGATACATAAGCTAACACTCGACACTCACACGCATTGAGACAAAGCGCTCATCGCCAACCGTTCCCGTTTCTCCACCAAACAGCAGTGGCGAGGTTTGCACCGGGCAGCCGGTGAACAACACAACGTCAGCCCTCCCGAAAACAAAAAGAGAAAAAAAACAGAACACGCACGCCGCTACTATAGATACAAGGAGTTGGCACCCGAGGAAGAACGCTCACAGGTATCATGCCGTTTCGACGTCATTCCAAAAGCGCTCTAAAACCGACATATGGGCCCCTATGTGCGATCTCCTCCGCGTCTCCCCTGTCGGGGGATCCCGTGGGCTAGAAAACTCCGTTGACTCCCCCCCCCCCCCCTCCTCAGACTGAAAAAGACACACACCTGCTCAGCCCACTCCGTGTCCACGGCGTGCTCGGGGCCCATAAGCACAACAGCCCGGGTCGAGATGTCTCGGTAGCTCTGGGTGTTGATGCCCTGGCGCAGGAGAGTCAGCGCCGCGCGGTAACAGTCCGGGGCCAGCGCGGGACATCTCTGCGCTATCCAGTCCAGCCGTCGGAGCTTGGTGTAGCCGCCGTAGCGCGAGATGTACGCGTCAAGATCTGTCATCGAAGCGATGTCACAAGTATTGTTGTCTTGATCATGTGTCGTGCATATCGCTCTTGATCTTTTGGTGGTGATACTAAATATGTACAAAGCGGAAATATTCAATCATGTCGTCTGACGCTTCTTTCTGCTGCACAGGGTGTTCGTATGGAGGGGGTCCGACCTGCCCGTTACGATTGTTTCCCATGTTTGGCAGACAACTACGACTTCCTGTCGATGTTATCCTCGGTATTCCTCATGTAGGAACAGCAAGCAAAAGCACCGAGGAACTTGCAAAAGACACGTGTGAAAAGTGAAAATCGCAGAATGCTTTGAATTGTTGCGCCGAAACTACCAGAACGTGCTACACTACAAAGCAAGCGGGTAGCAATGCAACACTGAGCCCTATTCCCGTGCTTTTAAAAGTGACGATCAAATGCTGGTATGTAGACCGTACCGGGATTCTGATGGTCCAGACCCGTAACTGCTGATACCATGGCCGGGACCGTATGCTCTTCGTCGACGCCACTAAGGACACAAGCTTCTCTTGTTAGATGGAGGTCGAGGAAGTCTTTACCCACGACCACCGGGGGCTGGCAGTTCTATTTCTTGAGATTTGGCGAGGAGAATGTGTCGGGAGAGAGAGAGAGAGAGAGTGGCAGCGAAGAGATAGAGTACGGTCGTCCCAAAGACTCCTCACTCCCCATCGCCGCTGGTGGGTTCGGAATAAGCCTACAGTCCTTGGTGGGGTTTCTTGCTGTTCAACGACCAGCAAGATACTTTCGGATGTGCACCAATCCTTTCAGCACATCTACGCGATGATTCGGGTTAAGGTTAGTCGCGGCATGGGGTGGCACATTGGTTCTCACACGTCCCTAGTTGTCCTTATCGGTACCGTACCCGACTTGACTTGCGTTGAGGGTTACCCCGTTCGAACTTCTAGGCACAAACAACCCCACATTCCTCTTCGATCCGACAGGCTGGGGGCGGAGTGCGGAGTCTGTCACGGTCAAGGGCTACCTCTCCTCTATCTGAGGGAGGCTGCACTCTACTGATCGCAACGCACCCGACGGCGTGGTAACACTTGGTATCCCTCCCGCTGTGCTCTTCATGGGGTTTGTCGCCCCGCATGGTTTACGTGTAATGCTGTAGTTCTCTCCGCAAAAAGGAGCGTATTTCAAGGGAGACAAAACGCCGGCGAGACTGTCGAGATTGAATATGGTTTGCAGCTTCGTGATGGTTGTGTGGCATTGTTAGGATGAATGGTTCGGCTCTCCCCCCTGTGGCGGAAAGATCATCTCGTCTTCAAAGATTGGATGTAGTCTGTGCCGGCTTCTCGGCAAGATCGGATAAGAAAAAAAAACAGGCGGCTGACAAGAGGATTTTGTGCACGCGCTCGCAATCGCAACCCCATGATGTAAAAATAATGTAGATGCAAGTGGATCTCGCTGAAGGCGCTCGTGCGTTGGTGTGTCTCGATGTAACTGCTGTACAAATACGCGCAGGCCTATGGAACACGAAGGATGTTTGTTGTTTCTGTGGGAATATGGATATGAGAAAAGGCGGGTGCCGTTTTGGCACACAGACCAGACACAATAATGTTGTTCGACGTAGCACTATAATAGTTGGCCAGTACACGGTGGGAGGGGAATCACTGGTCCACCGGATGTAACCCACCAACATCATTTGGTTATCAAGTCAAGTCCCAAAGGGTATCTCCTTAGGTACTGCTGTAGGACACGTTCACTGCCTGAGCATGTTCCGCGCAAACACCTGCGCAATGTGTCGCCTCTGCTGGTACAATCCACCACACAGCAGTGCACCTTACTGCTGATACTGCTGTCGCAGCGTTGAACAACATATGTCTTGGGTAGTTATGAAAAGAACTAGAGAGCGAATTGCGCGTGCAATTCGCCTAGTGCCAGGTGCGGTTTTCCTGCGGACTCGACAGCTTGAGCCTCTCCTCTCCCACCACCCTCCATCTCCCCGACACCGAGACGTGAGTGAGTGTGTACACCCGTTGCACGACCAACATGCAATCTCACCAAAGTTGGGAGGCAGAGAAACGAGGCCCACATCTCCAGCAACCACGGCATCCATCTCCACCCCCGCACCACCACCCACGCTGCTGCTTCCACCAGCATCGCCCCCACCCCCTCCGGCAGCAAGCTCGGGTTGGGCGTTCCTATCCGTGTCCATGTCTCTGCTAATGCTAGCGCTGCCGCTGCTACTGCCTCCCGCAGAGCTCTGCGCCGGTACAGGGTCTGCTTCGACATCCATCATCGCCTCAGGGTCCAAAGGGACGCCTGTGCTGATTGACATTGTTCTTTTGCTAGAGATTTAGCAAAGCACTTTCCTCGTCTGCACAGCACAAAGCGGCAAGGAAGCACGCGCCGGCGGAGCGCGACAACAGAGCAATGAACGTCCAGAGCGTGGAGCAGCGGAGCACCGACTGGCGGGGGCTCCGTGGCTTTTCATTGTAGTACCACGGGTGTGCTTCCACGGAGCCCTCCGCCGGACTGTGGACTGTGGACTGCTGTGTGTGTGTTGGGGTGCAACAGGCTTGTGCCGTACAGTTGACCGCTGTGCTGTATGACAATGTGCCGTGCTGCGTGATGCGTCACATGTCTATGACCACATACACATGACATTCGATGATCACTGCTAGATCGTCACTGCAGCACATCGTAGCGACGCGCAGCGTTGGCATTCGCGTCAACTCCACAACGAAAGAGAAGGTGCCACACAGCAGCACCAGCAGGGCCGTCCAGCAACATACACGGGACTGCATTCATGATCCGTCACGGAACATGGCGACTTGCTCGTCGAGCTGGGGGTGCTTTGGCTGTGCCGAGGGTACGGTCGCTTCACGAAGGAAGGGCTGTGCTGGACGTGAGCCTCGGCGAGCGTGATCACGTGATCCAGGTGTGTGTATAAGGCTTGAGCGATTTAGTTCTGCTTCCTTTGCCCGAGCTGCGCATGTTCCCGTGTGGAGCGACCAACATCTGACATCTCGCCGCCCGTACAAGATGGTGGTGTGTATCTCGAACGGGTAGTATTTCTGTGTTTTACATGTAGCATTTTCCCTAATAAAAGCAGAAGGAATAGTGTACGGAGTATTTCGTCCTACTTCTGTACCCGCGGACAGCGTTCTGTGTTTTCCGCAGCAGTTGCATCCGTCAGACAAGACAGGCAATGTTGCACCGGTGGGTTTCCGTACCAACAGGGTTGCGTTTTCGGGCAGCCGCAGCACTTCACACTTATCCGAGTACGAGTCTAGCGCACATGTAGACTACAGCAGTACACCTACCAAGTTTGGTGCTGCTGCTGTGATTGTTTGTAGATGCGTGGCATTCAAAGAAACAGAAACAAGCCCCCTTGAAGGTGTCTTGCCTAACGAGGACTAAAATATTTGACTTGTATTGTACCGTGGATCGGAGATTGCGGGCTGGCGCGCTCTCTGCGGAGATTGAAACGCCAATTTGGCCTGATACTGTTGTACAGCAAGCAGAGAGAATATGAGAGCATCCGCTGCTGATGCATCGACATGCAGGGCACACAATCGCCACATCAACACCAATCATTGCCGCATCAACTCTTCCTGCCGTGAAGCACAAGAGACCTTGATTCACACCTTTGCCTCTCGGCTGCTTGTGTGTGGGGCATCAGGCCGAAAATTTATTACTTGCAAGCTTTGTCCTGCGCTAGATCATGTTTCGCACCACCATCAGCACCGCAGACAATACCCCCCTCGAGATCGATGGCACCCTGGGCGCAATTGGCTTGTCTGTGGTGCACACGCACACACAGCATCGAAAGTTTAGGTTCGTAGTGCTACACCTCGTCGAGACATGCGTACCATGGGCGTGCAGTTCCCTGCTAAAGCAGACTCTTTTAAAGTCCGGTAAATCTTGAGGCTTTTGGCACGTTGGTCCGTGACTGGTCCCCGGAAGCGCCGCTTTACTTCTGACGGTCTTCTTCTAGAATATAGAAGTATATGTACATGAGTAACGCGCCGGACAGCAGTTAGTCCGAAAACTACCGAACAATTGCGTGTGTATTCGTCTCATCATCTAGTCTGGCGCTATGTAGATGTACACACGTGTGTCACAAGGACGAAACATGAAATGCAACGACAACTGCTGTAAGCGACCCAGCAAGGAGCAGCGGACCTGCTCCCTTCCCTCTTACATGAGATGCAACAACAACTGCTGCAAGCGACCCAGCAAGGAGCAGCGGACCTGCTCCCTTCCCTTTTACCATATTTCTTTGTTCCTTCTTATTAAGGCGGTTTCTTGTAAGGTTCGGAAATCATGTTCAAAAATGTGTAATTTCCCACTCGGAAAAAATAGCAACGTTTCGGTCAAGACGCTTCTAATAGTAGTGCAGTCGGGTTTTTTATTGCACTGCTGGTTAGGAATGCGGCCGTTTGCGTTTTTCCATTTGCTACCTCCGTACCACCTCATCGTCCGGTCGGTTTGGTTTTTCGGGGATCTCTGTGCACCGAGCGACACAACAACAAGAGTATAGTCATCCGACGGTAGCTGTGTGTATGGTGCCTCATGTGGGGTGGTTGCTACAGACCGTGGGGCGCTGGGTGGTTGAGAATTGAAGTTGGCGAGAGGGGCAACCGCTGTTCGAAAAAGACCCCCCCCTCGAACAAACAGCTTTCGACAGATTTTTGCTCCATCGCAGCTTTGGTCTCGTGGCGACCCCTCTTCACTAACCGAACCAGCAGATACCACAAGGCCATCCGCCCGTAGCTGTGTGTATGGTGCTTCTTGTGATGTGGTTTTCAGAGACCATGACGCGCTGGGAGGCTGAGCAACGAAGTTGGCGAGGATCGACTGACTGCTGTGTTGTTCGAAAAATGACATCATCATCATGCCGCTCACTGCTGTACAGGTTTCTCGCCGTGTCACCGGTGGCGCTGTAGCTATCCCTCTCCATTTACCGAACCAACAGCAATGACAAAGCCCCTCCGACAGAGAGGAGTTGATGGAGCTCACATCCTCTCAAGTTTCAGCAGCAGGGGTGATCTAGCGAGCGACAAAATGAACGTATCGTCCATCGATGTGTGTGTGTTGGGATGATGCCGCGTCTCTTTGAGGGTCTGAGCATGCGGTGTGTGTGTCAGCTGGCCAGCATTTTGCTTTGAGCGCAACCGACCACACGGCAATCACATATAAACGGCTGGGATGGCAGCACAGTGCTCCGAGGGTTGCTCGGAGCCCTTGATGAGCTCGCTACGACCAGTACTTGCTGCGCAATAGATGGTTGTGTCGGTGTGGTGTGCATTTCCAAACGCAAAAATCAAACGCGCCATCCGATCGAAAATCGTCATCATTTTCAAACGCATGACCGGTTGGAAACGTGAAATCTGAAATGTTCAGGCGGAAAAGTGTCATTTCTGATCTTTTAAGGCCATTTCTTACGGTTCTTTTTTGGAGCTGTCTTTTTCTTTGTTACTTCTCGAAAAAAGACACCTGGCCACAGAACCCCTTCTTACGGTGTCTTTTTTCAGGGAAAAAAGGCCGACAAAAAAAGACAACCCGTTTTGGACAGCCCATCCTGTCCTTTTCTGGGGCAGTTTTGGGTAAGTCGGGGCTGTCTTTTTTCCAAATTCGGACCAATATTTATTGTACAAGGTACGGTATGCATACATACATGCAGGGTTCCTACATGGGTGTCCCTACGTCCATACATACACACGCGTCTTCCTCCCCGCGATATTTATCGTTTGCACACCAGCCCACCAGCCCGCACACCACCCTCCCCCACACGCCACATCGCCAAGCACCACGGACACCATATTCAACAGCAGCCTCGTGGACAACATCCTGCTTTTGCGGGAACATACTCCGGCCGCCTCTTTTAGTGTCGCCGCCGAACTGCCAGCGCTTCTTGGACGCGCGTCATGCGCTCACCGCCGCGCACGACAGCGTCCTTGCCCCCACAGTCGCCCAGCACGGCCGACCTTAAAAGGAACAGCGGGTCCAACCCCGCCCCCACGGACCTCCTTCAAGACACCGCTAGGTTTTAAGCGCCCACTCAAGAAAAAGATCCCCAGCTACGTACGCTGCTTCCTGTACGGCTATGCTAGCTTCCATGCTCATGATTCCAAGATCTGCGAAGACCATTATTAACTCATGTAGAGGCAACGCCACCCCCCTCAACACTCCGGAAGAGGGATGGACGGTAACATTTGCAGCAGCCCCCCGGGTCTCGACGAAACACTCCGACGGCTTTGACCTCTTCAGGGGCGTGACCAAGAATTCCAAGAGGGTCCCGTAGCCGCCCCTGTAAGAGCGGATGGCTGCAACTAGATATCTATTCCACGTGAGCGTTGCTTTCGAGTGTAGACCCTGACCACGCGCATCTCTCGTTCATTGTTGTGCTCTGGGTTGCTGTTTGTCTCTCGCCCGTTGTTGTGCTCTGGTTTACTCGGTGAAGGATCCAAGACTTGATATTCTCATATATTCAAGGTCAGGGACGAACAGCTCGGTACGAACAATTCCCAACTTGAAATATGAGTCAACCATTGTGTCATTGAGTGAACTACGGAGCTCAATGAAATGCTTTTTGACGATAGGGGTTTTGTGTTGACCGCGTCTTCTCACTCCAACACTTCTCCCAAGACACACACCTACATACGCTAAAACCTCTTTCAATTCCTATGCATCAAAACGACATTTTTCAACATTCCTGGTTCTTTGCGATTTATTATTTGTCTTTTCCTCCCCTCGTATCGGGATAAAAAGCCGAAACGCCGAAGAGCTCTGCTATTTAGATGGGGGGGGTTGAATGCCTTTTTTTTTTGCTGAAAAGGGTACAATATACAAGGGATTTGACTTTTTTTTTTAAAGTGACCTGTGGCGATTGCTTCCCGCTCAAAAGTGTGCTCCCGTCCGTCGAGATAGCAGCTGATGTCAGCGTTTGGTGTCCGCATCCATCTCCGCCGAATGCGCGCGAAACTTTTTTCTTTGGCCGCGCTAGGGTTTGAATCACCGGTCCCCCCCCCCCCCCCCACAAATTTTTTTTTCATAACTATTCACAACTACCATC